AATAATATTAAAAAACTGTAAATCAAAACGCAAAGTACATAAACGGTACACTGTAAATCTTTTGTGTATCATCAATACCTGCAATAAGGGTGGCAAATTATTTGAACGCTACGTGCCAAAAATTACCTTTTTTTTCTTTTTCGAGCGTGCCATGAACAATTTTAAATAATATTATTCAGCTAAAATATTGTAATTAATACAAATATTTAAATTTTTTGCGTGCCCTCAAAATCTTATAGCATGCCACCTCGGGCATTTGTGACATGGATTTGCCATCCTTGACCTATATACTCATATATTGTACAATTTCACAGGCTATCTACGTGTTTATTACACAATTATATAATATAAGTTAAGATATATCAGGTAAAAATGTAAAGTCCTAAAATTCTGTTGTGTCGAAATTAATAGCAGGATATGAAAAATTTGACGGACGAGCTTTAGTCAAACATTTGAGATATGCATCACGACTGTAGTGGCTGGCAGGGTTGACGTGTTGCGTGATATTGGGACGTTTTCCGGTCAACACTACTGCAAGTATCATTTTTGAAAACTGTTATTTAGTATATTCTATTTAATAAGAAGCACACGCAAGTTATTCTATAATTTTTTAAATGAAAATTCATTACCGAACACCATGCATATCATAAATACGTAAAGAGGAGGAGCTCACATTTATTTTTAAAATAGTAGGTACTATCAAATTTTTATTAYTCAAATTGTTTTTCGTTTTCATAAAAAATATCCCTATATACATACACCCAATGTATAAATAACGCAAAAAAAAAAATATATAACTCAAATTTATTTCCAGTTTTCGATGCTTGATTGTGTCTGTATAACAATATTTCTATTAAAACAATTAAAAATAATATATTTTATGTAGATTATTATGTGATGTCATTAATTCGAAAAATACGAAATTAGCAGGAAAATGCCAAAACAGGAGATTGAAATAATACTTGGTATACCGGTATATAAGGTAGGTATAACAAGCAATAGGTAACCAATAAAYAACTACAGCTATAGTTTTGGATTTAATTATGTCTTATGCGTATATAGACAGTTGTATTGATAACAGATARACGTTCAACTTTTGCGAATTATCGCCTCGGTTCGATTACGGGTTGGAAGTGTATGCTTAGTTATAAGTCGTACACCTATTGATGCATTGGATTTGATTTTTAWTAAATTAGTTATCAGCTATGACAATGTACCTATACGATTTCAACATTTCCCAATTTTTAAGGAGATTACCTACGCAGTCGTGTCCGACATTGGCGCGATTTTGACCGKTTCATAAACATACAAATTTGATTTAACGCTGAGGAAATTGAAATTCCGGGGTCGTGCCGTTTTTTCCCCGGCCGAGAATTTTTTTTAATTTTTTAAGAAGAAAAGTGTATTTTCTAACAATTAACGAACTGCTGCGGTCTCATATAATAAATAGTTTTACCGCAGCGGCAATTATATATGTGACGCAGAGACGACGAAAATGCGATTTATTTCTCCATCAACACGCCCACTTCAAGTCGCATATGACGTATACCGTATTATATGTTATTATATGTTACATGGTTTGCGTTTACGATTTTCTATACATATATGTACGCGTGTGTGTATGTGTGCGAACGTTTTCGGTCACGTTGAAACCTATATTATATATATATATATAAACCACCTGAATAGTGCGTGCGTATATAATATAATACATACATAGGTACTGTATATATAAACTATTCCTAGTTATATACATATATGTGCATAAATATATAATATAAATGTGCGTGTGTGTGTGTGTGTACTATATTGAGACTAGTTTCCCGTCGTTTCCGCCGGCTCGCCACAAATTAGTGATCGCGCCGTACGCCCATTAGGTGGTCCGCAATCGCTGCCGCCAAAAATATTTTTTAAAAAACCGACAGTGCCTCGGGGGGCCGCAACCGCGCTATACCTCAATACGCGTATCTGGTATATATACCACTTATACCTCTGCAGCCGCCGTCTCTCGATCATAATACGCCGAGCGTATAAAATATATATATATAGCAGTGCAAGCGGATAAAAAAAATAATAATAATAAACGCATTTCTTTTGACCGATCGCAAACCGATTCGCTTTTAATAACATTACAAGTCCTATGCGTAGTTACAGCTCGTCGCGTATTATATTAAGTGCACGTGCTACGAGTGTGTGTGTGTGTGTGTGTGTGTGTGGCGCGTATTGTTTTATAGTACCTAATATCAGCTATACTACGAGTTTTTTACCGTTTGCAG